AAGCCATTTATTTACATAATATTTTAATAAAGGGTAAATAAATATTTCTTCATTKGCTATGTGTGGGTGTGTGTGTTTAGATTTTGTTTTTATAACGATTCCTTCTATCGATAGCATTTCGCAAATGCAATTTTAATGAACTAAATGAGGAAAATGTTGCACGTCTTTAGTTGATTTATGACTGAGTACATTATTTCTTTTTCTTCTTATCAACTATTGCTGATTGATTGCATTTTTAAAACAAATTTTAAAATTAAATATAACATAACCTAAAAACTAAGCAATAGTTAGTATATGTAAAGAAAAAATGCCAAAAAGTATGAAAAGAGCTCGTGCAGCGTGAAAATGTTATGTGTAGAGTGTATATAGTTTTAGTACTTTTTATTTAATTAAAGTTTTTATTTATTTATTTAATTTTTTTTTTTAGTTTTTACATTCAGCAATAATATTGAATACGCATTTGAAAACAAATTTCAATACAGTAATGAGAAAATGCGCTGCTGTAGACAGCTTAAAAAGCCTAAAAGCAAATACACTGTTTAACAAAATAAAAGTATTTTTTAGATAAAAGAAAAATTTTGCGGAAAATAAGTTTTTTTAAATTTGTTTGACTTTATGCAATTATTTTCAATAATGCAGCTTAAAATACTATTAATACATTATTATAAATATTTTTGAAATTTTTTCTTAATTAGTGAATAATGCGTAATGAACACTGTTGGACTTAAAATAATAAAAGCACAATCCAAGTATCAGCAAAAAGGATATAAAATATAAAAATGAAAAATTGTTTATGTATGTGGTTGTGTTTGTGTGTGTAATAAATTAATTAGTGGTTTGTTAAATAAACTTCTTAATATAAATGAAACTAGTTGAGAGCCGGCGCTCAGCTGCTGCCCACATCCCTGTTAGTTGCGCCACTGCTGCCACTAGTTTGTGACGTGCTAATGCCAGCACCCGTGGTGCTGTAGCTGCTGCGTTCCGAAAAGCTGGGACTTGGTGCGCGGCTAACAGCTGGGCTGCGTGTCATTGGTGTGGCGCCGGGACTGTGGCCGAGTGGCACGACCAACGGACCGATGGGCTTGCGTGTGCGTGGGGCGCCGCGTGTACCCACATATGTCGGGCCGGCTGTCTTGAGCCGTGGACGTCCAGGACCGCGTTTCACCGGTGTTGGCACGGTGGAGGTGAAGCTGGTTTCGGCAGCGCCTAAATTCGTGAGTAACGGTGCGTGCGCGCCATCTATTCGGAAGAGAGGAGAGAAAGTATTGTATTAGACACAAATTATTTTTTAGAAGAAAATGAAGAATTATGATTTTTTGTAATGAATTTATTTATTATTCATATTTGCTGTAAACTGCGCATTTGCACAAATTCGAAGTCCCATTATGGCTCTTACACAACGAAGGAGATTAGCTATGCTGCGYTCCGGCAAGCGCGCCTGCATCGATATCCCATTCGCAAATACTGAATATTTCACATTAATATCCGCTGCTATTGGCCCAGTGGCACGTACCACAATGCAACAAGCCGACAATGCGCTTACAACAATGCTAATTGCGCTAAGCGGCTTATGCGTTAAACGGCGTAGGCAGCGCTTCCCCCTACGCGTTACGTGCAGGACTGCAATTACAACCGAGTTTGTATGTATTTACAYATRTACATGTGCRTAACTCTGCTGCTTGGCGGACGGGAGCTGGCATCACCGCGGCATTGATTTCAAGGTTTTTCCACCGAAAATTACGTAAAATCATCGATAGGCATGTTGTTGCTGGTTAATCCAGGTTGCGCCACGGCATAATTTGAACAGGAGTTGGGCAAATGGTTCGCTTTTGCGGACGGACATGCGATATGTAAATAGGGGACCACGTCTGGACGCCGACGGGTGTTTGACAAAAGCGCCGCTAATGATGATGCCGCCGCCGGYGACTGGCGTTGTTGWCAAATCACGTGTGGAAGAAAGCGGAAGTGCGCCAACGAGTGCGCCTGCATACGAAATTAGCTACTACGTAGMAATCCCAACGGCAAGGAGTGGCATGTGCCACATGTCAAGCGTTGAACGCTGGCGAAATCGRTGCTKCTACGTAGTGACGTGTAAATGGCTGAGTGCCGCGTTGCTCGAGCGCTTAACATGTCGCATTGCTTAATAGATTTTACTGGACGTGATTCGAAGCGTGTGTTGAGCATAAAGGCTAGCGATTTTTCTATTTCTAAATTATGAAATAGTTTAAATTCGTGATTTGAAATAATATAGAATAAAATACAATGTACATTGGTGCAAAAAAGCGCACGGAAATTATAATTAATTACGGTGATTCAGTTTTATCAAAATCACAAACCTACGATTGGCACAACGCCTTCAAAGAGAGTCGAGATTTCGTTGTGGACATGCTACGTTCTGGACGACCTTCGACATTAGAGTGTAAGAGAGCTCGACATCTTTCGCGAGTGCGTTCGAATGATTTTGGTTAATATTTTGGRTGTGAAACRCGTTCTTGCTCGGCCCTTCTCGATAAAGGTGAGTTTTTTGCYTGAATTTAAAGCCAAAAACGCAATYAACACCATTGATCAACCATTGTATTCACCAGATTTAACTCTGTGTGATTTTTCCTTGTTACACAAACTGAAATTGCTGCTGCGTGAAACCCGTTTTCAATCGATCGAAGAGATAAAACCAAATATGCTGAAGGAGCGGAAAGCCCTCCCAAAAAGTACCTACGGAAAGTGTTTCGAGGACTGTATYTGGTGAGGATTATTGTGAAGGCGACAAAATAAATATTGATCATTATCCTGTGTACTTTTTTGTTACATATATATTTCCG